CTTTCTTTCTTTCTTTCTTTCTTTCTTTCTTTCTTTCTTTCTTTCTTCAGAGGCAGAGGGCAGAGACAGGCCCAAAGTGAAAAAATTTTACACAGGAGGAAACAGGCCCAGAGAGAGAAAGTGATTTATCTAAAGACATACTGTTAAATAGTAGAATCAGGAATAGGACCCAGGCCTCTGGTCTCCCAGTTCAGTGACCTTTCCACAACGCAATTATTTCTTAATACAAAACAGCTAAATTTTCAACATTTTGACAAATGTAACCATTATAAATGAGGGAACATGCTAAGAGTAGTTGAATGACTTTCTGAGGTCATATTTAGTGCCAGGGCTAAGATTTGAATCCCAGGTTTTCTGATTCTAATGTAGTTTGTAAACCTTAAATGAATGTCAGCTACTATTACTCCTAATAGACTGATAGAACTAGAGAACCTTTTTAGAATATATAATGTCAGAACTGGAAAGTAGCTTAGGTCATTTAGACCAAACCTCTCTTTTTACAGAGGAGGACACAGGCTTAGAGACAGAAAGTTTGTTCAAAGTAGAACCCAGTTCTCTGGTCTTTTAGTCTAGTGCCCTTTCCAAGATTTGTTTGTATACAAAATAGCCATATTTTCACCATCAAAAATAATGTGATTATATTATAATTGCTTGTTAGAATCACCCATCTACATTACGGCCCTTGGAAAATTCGGTGTTCTTGCTTAAGACCGTTCCTCAAAACAAAACAAAGCAATACAAACATTCCTCCCCGCTTCCTCTCCCCCTCACCACCTTTTTCGATTGTCGCCTTGTTATACTGTTGCGAGGTTTTCCTTTAGGTGACTCGGATGAGACTGGATATGAATTGATACCATAATGTAATAAATTTTGAAGGTTTAAGTACCTAAATTGGTACAGTTCATTGACTCAGAGATTTGGATGGATTCCTTCCATCTAGATCAGTACCAAACTAGGCCCTCTCTAGAACTGAAGGAAGTTTTGGATCTTGTGGCATGATGTATACGGGGAATAATTTCAGGGATTATAATATTGACTTATCTCTAAACAAGTATTTACTGATGCGTAGTGTGCAGGCATCTGTGAAAGATACATCAATGAATGACATGGATGTGGGGCCTGCCCTCTGGAGCTTCCATTCTAGTTAGGAAGGTAAGACAGAAGAGCATGAAAAGAGCACTCATCATACTAGATTGTTTATAGGGAGTGCCAAATGAGTAATGTGGACTCATTTTCTACGAGAATTCAGAGGAGAGAGATGAGACATTGCTGGGCTGGGATGGCCAAAGTAGATTTCATCATTGGCTGACCTTGTATATTGGATGGTATTTAGAGTTGGTGGTGCTGCACTAGGCAGTGTGATTAAAGACAGGGTCCTGGAAGGAATCGTAGATTTAGAGCTGGAAGGGACCAGTGCCCTAATTTTATGGATGAAGAAACAGGCTCAGTGAGATTGTTGCTTGCCCAAGGTCACAGAAGTATTAGGTGCTATTTATGTTATGATGTTCAGGAAACAGTGAGGGAATCAGGGTGGCTGAACTGGGGAGTTGCTAATGATGATGCTGGAGGGGTATGTTTGGGTGAGCTCACAGAAATCCTAACTTTTCAGTTTGACTCACTTTGTTTCAAGTGCTGAAACTATAGGATTGACTGGTGGGACATCCCTCCCTCTCAGGTCTCTTTTCTCAGGTCTGTGGAGGTTGATTACCGAACACAACCACCAAGTGGCGGCCTTGAGTTGCATACATTTGCTACTCCAGAGTTTGTAGAATTGGACATAGGCATCTCGTTGGTATATTCCAGCTGGGAGGCCCTTTAAAGATCATCTGGTCCAATCCCTCCATTTGATAGAGGAGGAAACAGGCCCCAAAGTGTTGGGAGGCTCAGACATGAGAGCATTTTGGAAAGTACAAAGCACTATACATATATGTGAGTGGTTACAAATTCCAACCTCAAGGTCCTGCGGAAAATCGGGGTGGTGTGGTTTAACATATGCCTTCTTCCCCCTCCATACCCAGCCAGGGAGTACCCCAGGATGAAATATGGAAGAGAGTAGGAGCATCCACCTTTGGAATGTCTCCATTTTTGAATTGTGGGATCATAGATTTAGAGCTGAATCTCAGAGTTTAGCTCCCCTCTTTAGTTCAGCCCCCCTCTTTTTACCATAAGGAACTGAGGCTCAGAGAATGACTTGCCTAAGATCGCACAGGTAGAGTTGAGATTCAGTCTCAGGTCTTGTGATTCCATCTTCCTACTGTATCACACCGCCTCTCTGGAACTCGGTCTGAGACCCATGGAGAGAGGGGTCAGCTCAAAGCCCTGGCTTTGAGGAGGTGACCCCTGGTCTAGCCCAGACCATCCACCTGGGGGGCAGCCGCACTGGGATCTCCACCTCCTTGGTGATGGACCAGGCTGCTGCAGTGGGACTGAGCACTTTCACTTGCTATACTGAAGATAGCCTCATCTACCCAGATAGCAGAAGGGGAGGACCACCCCTCTAGCATCTCCTTGACAAGCCCCAAATCACTGCTCTAGTATTATGGTACCTCCTATAATAATTTTTCATTTTTGCAGAGCCAGGTTTACCTTCCCACCTCTTTCCCATTTGCCTGAAAGCTAAAAGTGAGTTTGCTTTCCTTGAGCGCACCCCAGCTGATAGCGGCAGGAGCTGGCCAGCATTTTAAAGAGAGGTATACTGGATGGGGATTGGTCATGTACTTTGTAGACCCCCTGAATACTGATGTTTCTCTCCTTCAATTTCCATGCAAATCCAACAAGACAGAATTGCAGAGAATGTTGTATATTTGGGCAGCGGGAGTAAGATCTGATTTTTCACTGGGCTTCCACTGCCTTGTTACTTTTCAGGCATTTTCACAAAGTTTGTGTTGCCTTTTTCCTTGGACTGTCAGTCAATCAGGGAGGCAGTTCTGTAGTGGAAAGAGCAGACCTGGGAGACCTGTGTTGTGCCACAAATTCACTGTGTTGACTTGGGTGAAATACTTTCCCTCAGTGGTTTCACTTTCTTCCTCTGTAAAA